ATCTGATAAATCTCAGCAGCTTACACGATCTAAGAAAAATATTGAAACAACCATGGTACAATTAAATGGCTATTAAGTATCTAAACCATAAAAGCAGAGAACCAATACTGGTAGTCCTTGAGTTATGACCACTCATTCAAACTGTTCAAAGTTACAACAGTGCTGAACATGGGGGACTTATGATTGCAAAGTTGTGGCCATCGCAGTGTCCCCATGGTCATGTGATCCAGGCATTTGGTGCCTGGCTCAAGATTATGATGTCACAGCAAGTTGCAGTCTCATGATCACAATTTCTGATGTTCCCTGCTGGCTTCCCACAAGCAAAGTCAATAGGGAAGCTTGCAGGAAGTTGGAAGTCACTCCCACTCCCACCACTTTTTTGCCTGCCCGTGCTCTGTAGCACCTGCCCAGGGCACCCCAGCACCCACGCACCTGTCCATGCTCTGTGCCACCTGCCTGCAGGATCCCCCCACCCCCATGGCATCCATGCATCTGCCCATGCTCCATAGTGCCTGCCCGCAGCACCCATGCACCTGTCAGTCTGGTTGCCTGGGACTCCCATCTCTTCCCGCTTTATGACTCCCATGGTCCTGGGTTTACGATGGCAACTGGGACTGTGGCATTGCCATTGCTAAGCAACGTGGTCACGTGATGTACTTTACGACCACATCACTTAGCAACAGAAATTCCATTCTCAGTTGCCAATGTAACCCAAGGACTACCTGTACAAAATATAATAAGATAAACAAAAATTAGTGAAAAATAAAAAGTGTAAAAGTTGGCACAGTATGTAAAGATTATCGGAATGCTCTCTGAAATAGCTCAGTTTTTAACATCCACCTGAACACTATCAGGTGGATGTCAGCTCTTTGAGGTAGGCAAGGTCAAGAAATAGAAGCAGCAGAGAACCAAGAATGTTCTTTATTGTTGCAAGGTAGGATAACAGAATCTTGAAAGCCTATCAGAATTTCTCTCTACCACATTTTATACCAAACAAAATTAAGGCAGGGAAATTTTGAGTTTCTTTCTCACACTTTTCACTTTCTCAGGAATGAGTTGCTGTTTCTCATTCCTTGAAGATACATTGCTGTTCCCACTACCCAAGGCTAGATCTATATCCTTTCAGACAAGGAGGGAGGAGTCTGAGCCATATTAGGAGATTATTCAAAGCATTGGCACTGGCCCTTGTGTCCCCTCACCTCCCCGAAGCGTGGTGCTATGAGGAGTTACTTCCTAAATGATCTATTAGGTTGGAGTAGGTCGTCCTACCTTTGGGGATGACCCACCCACTTTCACTTGACACTTAAACTATACAACTCTGGACAGATTATCTCTGAGCATATGAAGCCCCTTAGTAGAAGAAATATTGTCTATCTTTGCTTTATCCTGCAATTATCTAGTTGCTAATATAGCTACTTATTGGATTATAAACAAATTGGCAAAATGGTGTGACAGTGATTTTCTAACTTTCATACTTGTTTTGTATTTTTTTTTCAGTCAATACTGATATATTAAATGCAGGGGATATGATTGCACAATAAAAATCAGGTCTGGAACAGAGCTTTTTGTAGAATTGTTCTGTCTCATTCATGGTTTTTGTTGTTGCTTACCAAGGACAATGGTAGTGGGAAATATCCAAACAAGGTTTATTGGTAATAGTTCTGATTTTTTTCATTGCTGCTTATTTTTTAGCAACAATGAAAGCAGTAAGTAAGTAACAGTAAGTAGCAGTAAGAGTTTTCCATTTGGGAATATCCTATACTGACAATTTGAGAAGTCTATAATGCTGGAAAAGGTAGAAGGAAAGAGAAGAAGAAGATGACCAGCATGATGGTCATGGGTGCACCATTGGAAGACATGAAGGTCCAGATTGGAGAAAGAGTGTCCTGGAGAAAATCTGTCTATGTGATCACTGAGAGTCAACACTGTCTTGATGGCATGTAATCAATCATATTGACAACTTACTCTGCTTTTATAAAATTCGTCTATATGATTTTCATCCATAAGTTAACCAGGTTGTGGATATATGCTTATATGCTTTGTTCCTTACAGGCACCATGGCAAATATATTTCATATGTGGGGCAGCATTCTCTAGAAGTTAAAATAGTGTATTTGAAAAGAGATGATGTGACTAACATTTAAAAAAAAAAACCCTTCCTTTTGCAAAATCCAGGAATTTAGGATTTTCATTAGCTCCCTTACTATAAAAATATTATCCCTTTGATGGGAAATGTCATTAAGATTAAAGTTTAGAAAGCAATATTATGTTTCTTCACCTCATTCTATTGCTTCATGAAAAAAGAGATCACTTTATATAATTTTCTGTCTGCATACTCTCATTTTTGTCTATAACTGAAGTAATTTACATAAAAATTGTATCTCTTAAACCCCTGGCTGTTCATTGTGATTAAAAACATTATCTCATAAGTATTTCAGTTATATTCAGTGATGCCAAATGTTGCAGGTAAGTTAGTTGGCCTTCTGATATTCTTTGATGTGTTAGACATAAACTACTGTACTGGTTATGGGATTATGATAATTGAAAATCCAATACATTTGGGAGACTCTGGATTAAAGGCATAAGGCTTTATGGCTTCAGGTGAGGGCAAAGGGATGAGGAACAGAAAATGGCAAAGTTCTCATATCAACATAGATTAAAAAATGGAGGAAGGGAAGCAAATATGGTCCTTATTAGCAGGATTATTGCTTTTCTCAGCATGCCTACTAGCATCATTATGTGTTCATGCATTTTTAGAGTCATGCTGGTGATATACTGAATTCTTAGCAATTTCAAATTGCAGTTTAAAAATCGGAGACATTGCAGCCTATCCTCTTCTCCTAATTCTAACCAATATAAACTGAAAAGTTAGTCCATGTGCCTTCACTTTAGATCATTACTATCTGGAAGGAATAAATTATTGACATTGCTATTTATTGTGGTAGCATGATTGTTAGGAATACACTTATATATAACAATTAGTCTCAGGGAAACAAATAAACAAAAAATAATTCTATTTGGGACTTGCCAGTTTTGGGAAAATATAATTACTATGAAGGATGATTTGATATTTTTTCACTTCTTATACAAGACAGCTTCCCCACCCTCAAATATTACTACACTGAAATTATACTTTTTAAAACATCTCCCATTTCATCATAACTAAAATGTAGAAAAATGTTTTTTCATGCATAATTTAGAAATATTCTGTTGGTAGATCCAGAATTACTTCAGTACGTTAGGGATTTTCCTGTCATTAGAGTACCCCATCCTTAAAGTAGGACTTATACTATGCACTTCTGGTAATTTTACTTAGCATTAAGTTCAAAAGTATTTTTTAGCAAATGTTATTAGATACCAACAGTCTTAAGTAAATTTTGTTGTCAGAAAAGGCTACCTTGTTTAATTACCCCAGGTAGTAATGACCACAAATTCTTGCCCGCTTCTACTTTCTTCTTCAAAGTAACATAATTTTTAAAATAAATTTTTCATAAGGATGCTGGTTTCTTCTTCTTGTTTCTCAGTATTCCTCTGTATGGTAATTATTTATACATTAATCAACTCAATTTACTAATGATAAATTTCTCTAAACACTTACTTGTTGTGTAAGAGGATTATTAAGAGAGAGAGCATCAACATTAAGTGAAACAGGATTGTAAATTAGTCATTTGTAACTGTTCTAATGTGACAAACTGCTGTGACCTTGATATCTGGTTGAAGTGGGTATAGATACTGTATGAATGCTAGAACTACTTTAAATTATAAGGGCCTTTGCACATCACTGTACATTCTACCTCCAGTGATGTGCAAATGAATGACATACAGTATCTCTGTCCCATATCACAAGCTGCTTTTGAATCTCTGCTCATTTTTCAAAAGTATTTGACCATAGAGTATGTAAAAGCAGAGTCTCTTCTGAATCCAGATAAATTCTTGGTGACTTTGTGGATGCATCTGTGCTATTTCAGTACTGAATGGTTTGCCACTTCCGTCTTCCAGAATGTTTTCCAATTTCCCATTCTAGCCTGCATTTCTTGTATTCCCTGGTAGTATCCCATTCCACAGCTTATCAGATCTGAACCTGCTTAGCTTCTGAGCCTAAATTAAGTCTGCCTGGTGCTGCCTCCTGCTGAGGCATGCATAGGATGTGCGAAACCACACATCCTTTGAACAAATAAAGCCAGAAGCCCTTCTTTCCTACACTGTATGATTAATGTTGTCTGTCCATCATTTTCATCAATAAATTAAAATTGACAAAGAAAATGTTATTTCAACAGTTCTGTGATAGTAGCATTGTCTGTCTGCCTTTCAGCTACTGATAAGGGATTCATTTTTGCTTTGATGTGGCTCTTTTGGATTAATTGTAAGTGCATTTTGCATTTGAACTACATTTCATCTATGCTTCTAGTGAAATTAGCACATAGGATATACAGTACATAGAGGAAGAGGGAGACAGAATGGTCTCTATTATGGTCTAAGACCAGTACCAAAATAGGTTTTAAAACCTAAATATGGTATAACAGCATTGTAAGTTTCCACATGGGATCACCTTCATACAGCATTACCACTTTTTATCAGTGCCTCACCTTTTTTTATGATATAAGGCAAATTTGGTACAACACGAAACATCCAGTATAAGGTCAGTCTGCTTTTTTTTTTTTAGTAAAAAGTATTTTAACTTGGATTCCAACTCTGGATTGAACTCTTGTCTCTTTCTCTCCTGAAGCTGTTGTGAACTACAGAGGCAGAAAAAAAAAGCAAAAAACAAAATAAAAAATAACCCAAACAATACGGCTGGTTTTCATATATCCCTCCCTATGGCCAGTAGCAGTTTAGTGGGATTTAGGTCAGGAGAAATATTAACTGCAGCCCTAACTCATTCCCCAACTCAGCCACAGTCTCCATCCAAATTAGTTCATTCTGTCTCATAGCTGTTTTAAATTCCCTTTTAAGGCACTGTATTGTATTTTTAACAGTAATAGTTGTGGTCTCTTTCTCCAGGTTTTGTGAATGATTCTGTTTCCAAATGCATTGTGGCATTACGCTTGACTGTCGTAGTAAAAGTCAGCATGTGTTTGCCTGGAGGAATTCAGTCTGATGGTCTTCAGTGTTCTGGGAAAGGAAAATGCATTACAAGAGAGTCTGAGGTAAGAAAAAACAGTACCTGCAGAAGGGATGTGGAGGGTGGGCGGAGGGCCATGAAGATCCTGGTCTTGGCCTGTTCATATGAGGCTGATTGAGACAAAGCAAAGAATTGCAAGGGCCAAATGCCAAAGAAGCAGTGCATGATTTGGAAGAAACTAGTGAAAGGCAGGTGTATGGGGAAAATTGACAATTGGCATAGTCGGTTGCAGTCATAGCCAGATAGCGACTATGTTTGTATGTCACACTAATGAAGCATGCAACTGCCTGGTTTGCATGATATGCCGAATCTTAAATTAATAACACATGCTCCTATGTGAATCAGTGTATCGTTCAAATGCAGCCACTCCCATAGCAAGTTAACCCATACTGTGCTGGGTTTAATTTCATCTTAATGTTACATGTGAACCTAGGCATTGTAATTTATAAATCTTATGTGAGCCCAACCAGTTGTGCATAATTCAGTAAAGCAAGCTCCAAGCTCCATATCTTCTCTGCGGGAAATGATTCATTAGAAGAGCTTTGCTCTAGCTTCAAAGTCTGGCATTTGATTGGTGTTCTTCAGCTTTTTAACAGATCTTCTGGCACCCAATCCAGTTCCCTAAAAACACGAGCATGGTCCCAGAGATGTTCAAAAGCTGTTATTTAAATATAAATACAAATCAAATCAAATGTAGTATTTGCTCTGGCTCTACCCACTATTTTTCAGAGCATGGCCCTTGGCCAAGCAGCTCTTACCATAGTAAATTATGCACCCCTAATTGTTGCATGGAATTTCACACAGTTGCTTCCTAATACCTTCTCTTCTGGCTTATGTGAGCTTTGGAAGTGGCTAATTAGCTGTTGCTTTGCATCCCTCCCAACCCTGTTTTGGATTATGCCGCTAATTATTATTTAATAATATCAGATTTCCATAAAGCAAAAGGAATTCAATAGATGCCTTTATCTATACTGATAATGGAATCTAAACCCTTAGAAAATGGAAGCAGTTCCCAGGAGAAATCATAAAATTTGACTTGCCAAGAAACAATCAACAAAAGAAATAATTATGTGTTCAAGAAAGATAATGAATCTTTCTGCTTTCAGAGATGTACCGTGTGATTCTGTTATAACCGTAATTCTCTATTGCTGTAATTTCAATACTTGCTTCTGAGTGCTCCTTTTTCTTGCCCTGCATATTCAAGACTATAATTTTGGTGCTGAAACCCTTCCTGTCTATTTTTATTGGAAGCTTGTTAAAAGAAAAAGCTGTCTTCCATAGCATATTCACCAGATGCAGAAATCATGGTGCATAATCAAACATTGCTATTTTGTTTTTTGGAAGGCGTTTTATATGTGATGTGTTGCTATCATTGTTGGTATGTTTCAGTCAGACCTATTTCATCTCCCAGACAGCTTGAGACATTGAATTAGGAGAGAGAATGTAGTCAAGTCTGATAATTTTATGTGCTATCAGCTCTTCTTAATTGTAGGATAAGGGAAAGGTGCTTTCATGGTTGCTTTTGTAAGGTAGTATGTTTCAGGTCGAATTCCTGGCACAGAAAGAGAATGCAGTTTTTTGAGGTCCTTGCGGTGAGGTTTCAAACTGAGATATTCAGCAGTTGCTTGACTTTCAATGTCAACATGTATTAGCAAGAGGAGCTCTAAATCTATGAAATGTGCCACATTTGAGTAGAAGGTACAGAAGATGGTGTCAGGTTCATTGTACGGTATATATTATATTTCCATGACATCTTATCACTTTGGATTTTGATGATATGGTTATAAAAATCAACATCAAGACAAGAAAATAAAACTTTTAGACAAGAAACGGTGTTTTGTTTGATGTGGAGGAATCAAGCAGAAGAATTGTATACGTGTTCTGAAATATTCTATATATTTATGAATTATGAATTATGAATTATTGTTGGTTGCACAGTCAGCCAGATGTTTAGACTGGATTTGGCATTTTTATCCACCTGTTGAGTCCTTCCCAAGGACCTGGGATAGGCAGATGTCGTTGTTTGATGGATGATGATGATGATAAAGATATTCTTATCATACTTTCTTTTAGTGTCTCTTGTTTTCCTGGAGTGAATAGCTGTAATTAAAAGTAAGGAGTTACGTGAACATAGGAAACCAAGTTTTTCCTATATATTTTTTCAAGGTATTACTCTGACTATTAATCTAAGCTATGCTGAATTCAAAAAGCAATTTGATATTTTGTCAGCAGAATGTTTTAAGGGAAAATGACAGCTTCCAGGTGTGCACACAGTACATCTGGACTTGTGTACACTGTTACATGTCTAGCAAATATCTATGCTCTTGAAAATATCTGTGTTCAAATGTCTCCTAAAGCCTGCTTCCTCCAAAGTTACATTTCATCAAATCCTAAAAATAGCTAAGCCAAAGTACTGTTAGCAAAAGCCTTTATAAATCTGCACTTGGAAATTTCATGCAATTGTTTTGGATCAACAGTTTGAGCTTGCAAATAAGCATATGTGTTTACAGATGATCTAGTCTTTCACTAGACTAACTCACCAAAAGCTTATGCTGAATGTTTATTTTAGTGAGACTGTTATTTGGGTTTTGTACTTTTGTATATTTTTCTGCAAAGGTTTTTTTTTTATATTCCTTAAATGGCCAATTGGAATTTAAGCCCAGAAAATTTGATTGAAACCCAGAATGAACAGTGTAGTTTAATCAGCTGGCTTAATTAGGCATGAGAAGTTTTGCCATTTTTTTTTTTTTTTACCTACAATGAAAGAGGCCCTCAGTGGCTCAGTAATTTTCCTACTCATACAATAATCAGTTACCAATATTGTATATCTTATCTAAATCAGCTATAGAATTGGGATTTTTTTCCCTGTTCTTTTTAGATAATGGTCTAATGGCATGGTCTTTGAAGTTGCCCTTTAGGTTTATCCATAAATCCCTCTGCTTGTAACGTATACATTGTAGTATCCAAAGCACATTATTAAAAAAGGTAATTTAGAAAGCATTTTGCCATAAACAGGATAAACTTTAGCACAAAAGTGCCAGGACAAGGATTACGTCAATGTGGCTCAGGGTTTCCCGACTACGCAGTCATATATTTTTTTCATATGAATTAAACATTCTATAAACACAGTACCATTCTGCAGTTTTAGAGAAGTAAAAAGAGAAATAGTTGGGCATTCTGTGTTAACAAGAGTTGAAAAAAAGTGGAGCAAAAGAAGAGTTAAACCATGCTTAGTCTCTTTTAAGTCAAAGTTGCATTATCTGGACTATCAGTGAAATCCCATGTGTATTATACTGCTTGGTGGTTTACAGTTTGTAACCTATAGAACAGTGTTGTCCAAACTTGCCACTTTAAGATGAGTGGACTTCAACATGCTGGCTGGGGAATTCTGGGAGTTGAAGTCCA